ATAAAGGAGTTCATCACCACCAAACCAGTATTATATGATATGCTGAAAGGTATCCTTTAAGAAGAGGACGAAGAAGAAAAAGGTAAAGATACAAATTATGAACAACAAATACACCTCTATCCACAAGTGAATCTAAAAATCAAGTGAATAAATAATTTGATGAACAGAATAAACTGGTGAATATAATAGAATCAGGGGCATAGAAAGGGAGTGGACTGACAATTCTCAGGGGGGAAGGGTGTGTGGGGGGGTGGGAAGAGACTCTGGACAAAAATAGAACACCTATGGATGAGGACAGTGTGGGGGTAGGGGGTAAGGGCAGAGAGTGGGGTGGGAACCAGGTGGAGGGGAACTATGGGGGGGAAAAGAGGAACAACTGTAATAATCTGAACAATAAAGATTTTAAAAAATATAGCAGCTGTGTATTGTCTTTAGACTGTGTGCAATGGCCATCCTACACCACTTATGGTTGGAGTGTAACCCCAATCTTGAGAAAATCACTAAGTACTACATACATCTAAGGCATGAGAAGGGATAGGATAATGTGACTGAAAGGAACAGAAAATAGAAATAGACACAAAGAGAATCCAGAATGAAGTTACTGTGGGTGGATTTTTAAACAATAGTGCTTAACAGGATCAATGATTACAAGAATACTGAGAAATATAAAAAAGATCCAAATTTAAATTCTAGAACTGTAAAATGAAATAAAATTAAGAAATGAATGGATAGATGAAAAAAATCAGTGAAGAGGAAATATGGTCAGAAGAAAATAGATTGGAGCACTGAGAGGGAAAAAATATGGAAAATGCAAAAAAAGTTTAAGAGACATGGGACATGGTGAAAAGTCTAACATAGGTACTCCAAGTCTTAGAAGAGGGAGAAAGAGAATAGAGAAGAAGTAAAATCTGCAGAGACAATGGCTCGGACTTCTCTAAAACCAAAGGTATCAAGCTTCAAACTCATGAAGCAGAATTCATTCAAAGAAAGCTACAAACATATTGTAGAAAAACTACTGAAAACCAGACAATGAGAAACATCTAAAAAGGGCTGGAAAATGCACACAAACTTCCAAAGAGCAACTGTAAGATTAAACAATGGATGCCAGCTCTCTTAAATTTGAGTTTCCCCTAAGAAAACAGAATCTAGAATTTCATAGTTAATCTGGGGGGTGATCCCAGGAAGCAGGATCAAGGAATGGGTGAATGAAGTAGGAGAGGAAGAAAAACCAATGTGAGGGGGTCCATTACTGAGGGTGCCACTATAAGCAACAGCAGCTTAAACCAGCTGTGACCTCTCAGAGTTATCTACCCAAAGGATAGGAAGCTGGATCTCCCTGATCAGCTGACAACTGACCCCACCCCCCAGGCAAATTAACTTGTACTTCTTGAGGGCCAAGGAAGGCCCAAAGAATCTGCATAAGCCCTGGGGCAGAAGGTGGAAAATCTTTTGGTATGGGCTTGTGGTGGGACAACAGTAATGTGAAGGGAGTCAAAAATCGTATAAATGACCGACTTTATGTAATTTGAAGAAGAAATCAGAGCTGGGCTAAGGGGATATGATGTAAGGGACCAAAGGTATTAGACTGGAAGACAGTAAAACTAAAGGTATACCTCAGAGATATTGTTGGTTCCAGACTACAGCCATAAAGCAAGTATCACAATAAAGCAGGTCAAATTTTTTGGTTTCCCAGTGCATATAAAAGTTATGTTTACACTATACTGTAGTCTATTAAGTGTGCAATAAATAGCATTATGTATAAAAACACAATGTGCATCCTTAATTAAAAAATACTTTATTGTTAAAAAATGCTAACCACCATCTGAGCCTTCAGCAAGCTAAAATCTTTATGCTGGTGGAGTGTCTTACCTTCAATTTGTACATGACACAATATCTGTGAAGTGCAATAAAATGAGGAAGAGTTTCAAAGTGCTAGCAGAAAATTGCCAACCTAGAATTTTATACCCAGGAAAAATGTACATCAAAAATAAAGGCAAAATAAATATTTTTTACAGATAAAAACAAAGTGAGTTCACCACTGGCAGATATGATTACAGGAAATAACTCAAGGTTTCTTCAATTAGATAGAAAATGAACGGTGATGGGTAACTAGACACACAGGGAGGAATGAAGAACAATGGAAAGGTCAATGCTAAATAAATAAAAAAAGGTTTCATGAGGTTTAAAATATAGACAGAATTAAAATACATGACTGCTATAGTTTTTAAGTTGGGAGAAGATAAGTGAAGTAACTGGAGATCTTCACATGGTATGTGGTACAAGTACAATGAATATCACATCTTTGTAAACTAAAGATGTACAATATAATCTCCAGGATAACCAACCACTAGCATAATTGAAAAACAATGTATAATGATCAAGGCTAATAAAAGTAAAAAGAATTAAAAAAAAAGAAGGAAAGGAGAAAACAGAGAAAATATACAGCAAATAACAAGCAAATAATAAAATGGTAGAATTATAGCCAACTATTTATCAGTAATTAAAGTAAATGAGATACTGATTTAAAATGCACAGACATCTCTCCTTTTAGAAATTAGATACTTACTTCACTGTGGGACTCTTCCCGGTGTGTTTCTTATGTATAATGGTGTGCTGTAATACATCTGGAGTGGAGGGAAAAAATTTGTTATACTAAAGGCTTCTGCAAAAGCCCAACAGGATCATGCAACTAATTTATGTGATATTAACATTGTCAACAGACCTTACAGAGTGCTTTTCAGAGAAAATTCCTTAAAGAATAAATTTTTCAAAAGATACAATAAATGACTGAATTTCCTTAACTATCCTCCAAAACTATGAACGTTTACTAGGAGCATGCCACTGCAAAACTATAACATTCAATTTTAAGCTCCTTTTTAAACAATTAAAAAAGTGAAGTGCCTCAAATATTAAAAATATACATCTATTAATATAACACACACCCATGTACCCACATCTCAGATGTCTCTATGCCTCTTTTTATTAAGAAACAAAATATCACAGAAGCAACTGAAGGCCCTCTTCCATTCAACTCCCTCTCTCTACCAAGGCGAACTAGTGAAAATATTTCAGTGACTGCTTTTTATTTTAACTACCCATATATGTATTGACAAACACATTCAGTGGTGTTACATGTTTGAATATACTGTAATTGTCTTAAATGTCATCTAGCATGAATATGAGTATGTCACAATTTACTTATAACTTTATTCACATTTAAAGATTTATGTTAATATCCATTTGCTATTACACATAATGGTACCTTGAGAACGTCAGTCCCTGTCCCCTGACACATGGACAATTTTCACAGAAGTAAAATTGCCGGGCAGTAGCATAAAATTAATTACCTCTAAGTTCACTACACAATGTCAAATTTCTGTCCAAAATAGTTGTGACAATTTATATTCCCATCAGCAGATGGGAATTCCCATTACTTCATATCCTTGATGTCAGAAAAAAAATGTTTTGCCAATCCAAAGAATGTGAAAGGACATCTCATTATTTTTATTTTTAAAACTAGAGGCCTGGTGCACGAATTCGTGCATGGGTGGGGTTCCTCGGTCTGGTCGGCAATTGGGGCTGTCTTGCCCAGTCCCAATCGGGGCCTATCGGGGCCGGCCAGCCAGGGAGGGACTGCGGGAGGGCTCCAGAGCATGTATGGTCCTCTCACCCAGACCCCAGCAGCAAGCTAACCTACCAGTTGGAGTGTCTACTCCTTGGTGGTCACTACATGTCATAGCAACTGGTTGAGCAGTCTACCGATTTTATTCATTTTTATTGAATTTATTGGGGTGACATTAATAAAATTACATAGTTTTCAGGTGTACAATTCTATAATATATCATCTGTATATTGTATTATTATTTTTTAACATATTTTTATTGATTAGAGAGAGAGAGGGAGAGATAGAAACATCAATGATGAGAATCATTGATTGGATGCCTCCTGCATGTCCCCCCACCCACCACTGGGGATTGAGCCAGCAACTCAGGCACATATTTTGACCAAAAATCAAACTGTGACCTCCTAGTTCATAGGTCAATGCTCAATCACTAAACCGCACTGGGCATGCAGGTCATGCTTCACCTTGTCAAGAAAGCCTTCTTATATCAGATATTAACCCCTTCCCCAACAATTTTTTTTGTTAAAAACGTTTCTTTTTCAGACTAATTTTTTTATTTTGGTTCTATATAGTATTTTTGATGCTGGTTATGAAAACAGTTTGTAATTATTTTTTCTTCCCATTTTTGTGGTTAAGAATAGTATTTCCTCAGAAAGTTTCTAGATGAAATTATTTAGAATGGTACGTATGTAGCTGGTTTTTGAAGGTAAAGTTTTAGACGAGTATACTCGTCGACGACTGAAAAAAGAACATTTTGTGAAAACGTGTATACACGTTTCTGCCGGGGAAGGGGTTAATGTTTAAATGTTTACGCTTTATATCTTACATATTACATTAAGTATATATGTTACATGTAGTTTGTAATTCACATTTAATTACATATATACTAGGGGCTCAGTGCACAAAATTCATGCACTCCGGGGGGCGGGGGGGGGCGTCTCTCACAGCATCAAGCCCTCGCCGGCACCCACAGGACCCCAGGCCTCGGCGCACGGAGTTGTGGGACCCACCTCCACGACGCACTCAGAGTGTCAACTCCCCGCCCACCCGCGCACACCTTGCCGTGCACGCAGGTCCGCCCACCCATGCGTGCCTGCTGTGCATGCAGCCTCCTGGTGATGGGATGCTTCGGCATGAGGGCATCACCACCACATAGGCTTTTATCATATAGGGTAGGATTTTTTATTGGAGCGTGTG